GCGCGGGGCGGCTGTGCGCGCGGTGGGTGCGCGGCGCCGTGCGGCTTGCGGGCGCAGCCGCTGGGAGGCGCGAGACAGGGGAAACAATGGTTACAGTACTGCGTCTGGTGGTCACCCTTTTGGGGCGGCCACCAGCGCGTGTCACGTGACAATGCAGCGCACCATATCGTATCATGTCTAGCGATAGTATCTCATCCCCCAATACGGTCCAGGAGAGGGCCCTAAAATACTAGATATTCAACTAACCATACCTCCTCAACCGCTAAACCAATTAGGGTGGTTCAAAAACCTATAGACTCCTAACAAAGTCTACTTTCACCTGAGATACCATAATCACTGTACATTCCACTTCCCAACTCCCATATAGAGAAACATTAACTACCCCCTGTAGTTTACACCACAGTTAAGGTCTTCTCTTCTATGATCTCTATGACCCTTTCCACCACCAGAACGTTTCCCTAGCTATGCGATCGGAAGTGGTCCATTTCTGACACTACAATATCCCACTCTTGTTCCACACTCGACATCAGCTTGTGGCGGAACATCAATATATTTGGGCTACAATCTCCTTTGCAACCCTTTGAGTCTCTAGATATTGCTCGAAGTGGCGGGCTATCCCATCAACATGTTGGCATAGGACCAGATAAATTTTATTACGAATCTCTCCACTCCATTAGGATGGCACCCTGAAGATTGCGCAGCCTTCGCGACTGTGTATTCAACGCTTGTTCCCCGTCTCCTAGCACCATGATATGCCGACCACCCATGGCATCTTCACGCGCCCTCAAGGCAGTCATGAGCTCTTGGCAGAGCTCTGACACATCGTGGGGATGGGGCAAGCCAAAATGCCGCCTCCATTCCAACTAGAGGTGGCCACCCGGATCCGTTAATAGCGGACAGAGGTTAATTTCCGTTAATTTTCTGTTAATTAACGGAAAATAACAAAAAAAGACAAAAAATAACCAAAAATTAACGGATTTTTAGATTTTTTAGGGATTTTTGGGTTTTAGTCATACTTATAGTTTATGGAATTCGCTATTAGAGAGTATATTTGTATTTTATTTCAACCTATGCATACTAGATTTTCAACTAGCCGCAATTGTTGTGATTTTTTGGGGTTTTTTTCGATTTTTTTGGATTTTTTTGTTTTTTCTGAACTTTTCTCCCTTTTTCTTTAACGAAATTTAACGGACAGCTGACAAAAATTAACGAACCAGACTTAATGGACCAGATGGTATCTTTGAGTGGCCACCTCTAATTCCAACACACATCCACCGAAAGTTACACTCTGCCTTCTCTCACTGTCTCCCTAGTGGGTTGACATCCTTCCAGGGACTGCTCTGGCTCTCTTGCAACCTGGCGGCATGGATTGATAGGGGACGAATTGCGCCTAGCGGGATTCGACCCCGCGTCCCTTGAACAAGGGTAGAGCGAATCACCCACTAATACAAAGCCTTCAGGCAATGTATAATGGCGAGCACCCTATTTAAACCCTGGTAGTGACTTGGCCGCTCTCCCATTCTCTCTCCTCGCCGTATCATGGATCCTAGGACACCAACGCTGCATGTGGGACATGTAACACCTTGTCCCTTTGTCACATCATCACATCATCTCAAATGTGACAGCTAATTAGATGCTTTCATGTACTGTCTTATAACCCCTACACATTCGTCTGGGCAGTTTAACCCATTGTACCCTTTTGTGTCTGCACACAGTATCCGCCAGCATGTGTCTCTCTATTATTAATGAAACCATCAAGGCTCGGTAGCCACTATTCGTATTGATACATAGGACACCCTATTCCTCTTTTCCCTTCGGTGAGAGTTTCCTCTCCTCCCGTCTAATTATGATTCCCCACCGGTTATCTCCTTTCAGTATCCTCTCCCTCGTTGGGTCAAGACCTGGATGAAGGGTAGTAATGACCAAAAGGCAACTAATCAGCACCTTGCTTGTAATCATTTCATAGTATAGCCCTTTGATATCATTATGTCTCCCATTGTTTGTCTTCTGGGGCGCTGGTGTCATCATCCATCATATCGCCGTTATAGCCTTTCCCTTATCCATCTTAAGGGGCGCCGCATAACCAGATTATGGATGGTTGATTGTTACATTATCCCCTCTCCACAATGGTCACATCACCCCCATTATTGGGCGACCCGTTACATTTGTCATGCGATGCTGGCTTACCTGGGCCATCTAATGTAGTGTACAACGTGTTTAGGGCATGTACTCAACGTCCCCCCATCTATCTTAAGTGATCCAACCAATGAAACGGTGGTCATTATGGGGCGTCTATTCAATACCGTATGTACAATACTTTGAAATATTCAACCCTTCCGCATCAAAAAAATTTCCCCGTTATGCTTTTTGTTCCGCATTTTGTTTTTCACAACGTTTTTTTCTATTTTTTTACGTTGCTCCGCATAGAAACGCCAAGTTTTGCGTTGCTATTTATTGCTCGTCGTGCTCCCTCTCGTGCGCGTGGTCCCTTTTTTGCATCACGCGCGGCCGTTACGAGGTCTGTCGGCCTGGGCTTAGGCGTGACTAAAGGGAGGGGGGGGGTCCGGGACACCTCTGGTGCCATGCGCGTGTGCGCGTGGTCCCTTTTTCATGTCATGCGCGGGCGTTACGCGGCCTATCGGCCTAGGCTTAAGCGTGACTAAAGAGGGGGGGCGGGGGTCCGGGACACCTCTGGTGCCATGCGCGTGTGCGCATGGTCCCTTTTTCGCGTTACGCGCGCGGCCGGTACGCGGTTTGCGTAACCGCTACGGTGGGCCTCCCAGGTCCTGCACCTGCGCGCGGCGCATGTTGGCGCGCGGCGCGGACGCCGGCCATGCACACGCCGCCCATCACCGGGCTTCCTTGACCTGCGCATGGGGCGCGTGCGGCGCAGTGCACGGCATGGCCGCCGACCGCCCACTTACGCCCATTCCCCCCGGCTTCCTTGACCGGCGCCCGGCCCGCCGCATTGCAGCCGATCGCCCACTCACAGTCCATCCCCCCCGGCTTTCTTGATCGGGGCGCCGTTTCCGTAACGTCCGGTGGGCCTCTCGGCCGCTGTGTGATCCTGCACCAGCATGCGGCGCGCGGATGGCGCACGCCGCGGGCGCCGGCCGTGCACACGCCACCCGTCCCAGGCTTCCTTGACCGGCGCGTGCGGCGCAGCGCGCGGCATGGCCGCCGACCGGATGCTCATGCCCAATCCCCCCGGCTTGCTTGCCCGGCGCCCGGCCCGCGGCATGGCCCCGACCGCCCACTCACAGTCCCACCCGGGGCTGCCTGCACCGGCGCGCGGAACGCGGGCACCGCGCGGGGTGAGCGCACCCCGGCTCCCGCCGGCTTCTCCTGGGATTCCTCCGTCCCCGCCTGGGCGCTGGTGGCATAGCGCATGACTAAGGGGATAAAGGAGGGGCGGGGGGCGGGACACCTTTGGTGCCATGCGCCGTGTGCGCGTGGTCACTTTTTCGCGTTACGCATGTGGCAGTTACGACGTCTGCGTTACAAAGCATGGGTGGGGGGCTCCGTGACCAGTGCTGTGCATACCCTTGACCGCTGACTGGCAAGCGGGGGAGGTGCAGCGGGTAGCGTGAACCCAGGCGGCGCTTGGGCGAGTGGCCGGCGGTGGCATTTGCCATCGCCTATGGCATGGGCTCGAGTCACATTTGGGGGGGGAGAGAGGAGAAGGCGGGGGGAAGTGGGGTTTAAGGGGGGCCACATCGAAAAATCTGTTGATGGCAATCGACGCAACCCTACGATGTTCACTTCGACCAAGCTGGGCAGCCGCTTTGAAGTGCCTCTTGGCACCTCTTGGCCATAGACTAGAACGGGTGGCAGTTTAGGAAGGTGGAGGTGGGGGGTGGGGGTGGGGGGAGGGGGCATGTTCGAATTCGAAAAGTGCGTCCTTGGCGATTGACCCAACGGGTCGATCGCCATGGACTTTCGCTTCAAAGAGGCTTGGCGGCCTCACTGCAGTACCTTGAGGTGCCTCCTTGGCCGCCGACTGGAAGCGAGTGGCGTTGGGATGTGGGGTGGGGTGGGGTGGGGTGTGGGGTGTGGGGTGTGGCGGGGAAAGGTCAATTCTGTTTGGTGCGATAGATCCAACGGGTCGATCGCCGTGACCTTTCACTTCAGAAAGGTGTGCTGACTCCTTAGGGCGGGCGTCCTAGAGCACAACCTTGACACTCGCTGACGCCCATAAGAAAGTGTTTGGGGTTACGGGGTTTGGGGTTTAGGGTGCCACATTTGCAAGTTTGCAAGCTTCCTGCGATTTAGCACACGATTTGCAGCAAAAGTGTGTGTGCGTGTGCACCACTCGAGCGAGCATGTTTGCGGGAGCAATGTGTATTTTATTATTTTCTCCGCAAAAAAAAGACCAAGCGTTACGTTACTATACGGAAGGGTTTAATATTTTGCTGTACCTATCAAGTATACAATAACTACATACTATTACTATAATACATAATCATACTGAGGCGTCACGAACAGTGTCATATCCGCGGTTCAACAACAGCTATGAGGTTTGTGAACCAGCACAATGACCCAACACCAAGGTGACCGACATGAAATCAAAACGTGCCTTCCTTACATTGTAACAACTAAATCTCACAATGTTCACCCAAATCGAAACAAGACACGACACGTTGGACACTACCGTCAAAAACCTGTGGCTACACAGGCGTCAAGATTCTGACGCCAACCAGTGCAGGCTACATTGCCAGCAACACCTACAAGGACAACATCTTGATGTCAATACACCTGGCTGACCGAAAGTGTTCGAGTTTCAGACGCTATATCACGGACCTTGACACCCCATACCATGCCCAACATCCATAATTCCAAAACATCGTTGCACAAAAGGCTCAGGGACGCTGCTTTGCCGTTCAAAGGCAAATCATATCAAAACGGACTATCAACCCACCCTTGCAGTTGTTATCAGCTTCATGCACTCCATGCCATCAAAGCATCATCATGCAATTCCAATTCACCATCAACTCTGACAGTCATACAAGGGCGTCCATGGACTTCTCACCAGCTGTCGTACCAATAACCTTCTCTGGTGCTTTTCTTGGACAGGAATGTTGGGCTATGCAGCCCCTGAAGAACTCAAACATTGTGAAAAAGACAGCTGAGTTGATTCCATTGCTGACAGCCCTTGGCCCAACACCCCTGGCAAAACCCTTCAAACCCTCAGCTGCCATGACAGTTCTTGCTGCCGATGCCATGGTAGGACGCATTGCAGCTGTGCACATCATGTTTGTCTTTATCACATCGACTGGGGTTGTAACTGCAGCTGCAAAGGCACCAGCAAGTGCCCCCATGACGAAGTCTTCTCCGGCAGTGGGTTCCCTGTCCTTCAGCATGGCCTTGTGAATTGACCTCAGGGTTTCATATCCTGCAAACCTGCAAGCCATGTCTGGGACGTCCTCTATGAGTGTGGGAACATATCCTGCGAAGAGCCCCTGAGGCCCTGCAGCAGCCACAATCGACTGAGCGGCTGTGAAGGCGTTGGCATACACCCCAGCCTGCACAGATCGTATGCACACTGCCAGGGGCACCTTCACGATGCTGCTCCCCACCGCGGCAATTCCACCACTGAAGAAAGCAACTCCAGCTGTGGGGAGGCTAGTTTTCTTTGCAATGATATTTGCGGCAGCTGTGTAGAAGGCAAAGTAAGTCCCACAGGCTATCCCAGCACCACATGCAGCCCCCAGCACACCTTGATAGAGCCCTGCAACATCCCTTCCTGCAGAAGCAGCAGCATTGAGCATGCTGAGCACGCTTCCCTTCGGCCGGGACAGCAATCGGCGAGGCAGCTTGCATGTTGACCTTCCCCGGCTTCTGACCTGCATGCGAACCTTTAGAGTGTCCAGAGGATGGATGGCTGCTTGTGCGGCTGCCCTGGCAGTGGCCCCAGTAATTACATCACTTGCAGGCTTTCCAGAGGGACATGGAGGTGATTCAGGGACAGGAACTGTCGCCGCTGCGAGAGTACCCCCAGAAGGCATTGGCAAAGCTGACTCGAGCGAACAGTCTGCTCGCACCACAGCACACTCATCGTGCTCGTCAGTTTCCTTCCTCAGCATTCTCATCTCAGCGCTTCCTCCTCAAAACCAGTATGCTCGATTGATTGATTGTTGGTTGTTGCACGGCACACTAGTCACAAAATCACCTTCACTCCAGCAGAGGGCGCTGGCACACCCTTGTATTCCTGTGCACATTTCAACAGTCCACATTATTGTTGCCATTCGGTAGCTAACAGGTTGAGGGCAGATCAAGCACCTTCTCATTTGGGGGCGACGTCCAGCCGCGCTGGCCTCCCCGTTAGAAAGTTCAAACTGTTCAAACACGCGTCTTAGTGAACGATGTGCACAACTTCAAGCAGGCCAGTTCTTTCAGCAGGAGCTGCCTGACCATCAACATACCGGCCCGTAGATTAAGCGCAAGCCAATGCGCTGCTCCGACGAGCACTCAGGCTTCTCTTGCTCAAGGGACTCGATGTGGCGCAGACGGCAGCGGGACTCGACCCAGGTGAACAATTCTGTCTCATGGATCTCGGTTCTTTTCGCCACCTGGCTTGACAGCACCTGGCCTCCGACGCACTTCAAGTTCACCTGGATAAAGCAACAAACATACGAATGATCGGAGCGGCCGTCCACGTTTTGGAGGCCGAAACCACAGCATGTTGCAGCAGCCCCTGCAGATCTGGGAAATTGGGTCCAATCGCGGGGATTGCTCAGGTCAACAACATTAGGACCAGCGTCGGCCCGACCTCGCCCGCAGCCCAGCGTCTCCAAGCGTCTACGCAGCGAACTAGCGAGCAGTAATCCAACCCACAACTGCTCTCGCTCACCGTTTCCCGGATGAGGTACTCGTGGGAGTCCGCGGCGGTAGTCGCCAAGACGAAGGTCAAGAACACGCAGGACGTCCAGACGACAGCCTGCGAGCGGCGGCAGCCACGGGGATCTGTCAACGGGGCCAGGCAGAGAGGTGCCGGGGGGTGCCACCGTCCGCGGCTCCTTTGGGGGCTCACCTCCAGGTAGGCCAGCGCCAGCAGCGAGCCGTACACCTTACAGCCGAGACTGGACTTCATCGAAGGCGACGGCAGGCATCAAGGCGGGCGGCAGGCAGCGCGTACCACGATCGCACGCGGAACCAGGCTCAGGGGGACGAGGCAGGCGAGTGGGCTCTGCACACGAGTTGGGGGGCACCAGCCGGTATAGGCGCCGCGAAGGCGCGACGTGGCACCTCGCAACGTCCGCCCCCCCTTCATACTAAGTCCGAAGTTCCAGGGGCTCTGTGTGGGTATGTACTTGCGCGCGGTGACTGTGCTGCTGCGTCATCGCCGTAGGCAGTGATGCTGGCAGCTGTGGCGATTCGGTGAATCATTCATTTCGATCCATTTCGATTCAATTTCGGGAGGCATTACAGACAAGGGGCAAGGACGACGCAAGTGCCAGTCAGCACATGAGTCATGCCCATTCAGCAGTTGCGATGACCGGCGGTAGTAATTAACGAACTGCACAGGGGGTAATAACTATCGCAGTTCAGCAAAGACAAGTGACATGACCAGCGTGTCGAATTCTCACGTTGTTTGTGAAGGATGTTCACTCATTCATTCACTGGAGGGAGTAAAAGCTGTCCAGCAGCGTTGGTCATCTTACCACAAAGCCCCCAAGCTGTACTAGAACTTCTCGTTGAATTTTCCTACCGGTTACAGATTGGAAAAGATTGGAAGTGTGTTCGAATTACCAATAATTTACCGCTGATCTGCCTCCGTCAATTACTGATTTGTAGTCCAAAGATTAAATAGTGGCATATGGGAATCCCGTTTCGAGGAATGCCAACCACATTATCTTTGAATGGCTGTCACCTTTTCTTGATGTTTCACACGCAGCTTTCCAGTTCTCATGACTGGAGGTTGGTGGCTGAACACTGATGTGCGGCGGGACTCAATGAGAGAAGTGAATACAGATAAAAGAGCCAGTTCAAAGAGATGAAAGTCTGACACACCAAGGCAGCCGCAGCTGCCATGTTGTGCCAGCACCTGGCCATGTGCTGGGTGACTGGTGCACACATTGACCTGATTGAGAAGGCGGGAGGACGGCTGGCCATCAATCAGTTTCAATCTTCCTAATTTTGGTGATCGTGAATTGGTACTATGGTTTGGAGGTGTGAGTCGGTGCTGTGGGGCAGTGTGTTGTGCGTTTGTGAAGTGTGACTTCAGTCTGCCGTCCTGAGTGTGAGTTGTGGTGGGCGAAAAGAAAGGCGCATTCTGGTATTTAAAGAGAGCCCGAGACTTGCTCGTGGCTTCTCTTGGTTTGGTTGTAAGACAAGTTGAGTCTTGGCCGATCATGCACGGCGAGTGCATTTGAGCACCGCGTGCACCAAGGTTGCCACAAAAGTCGAACTAAAAGGTTTGACTTGTGCTGCTTTGTGGCCCATAGCTACGCGCATTCGATTGCGACGATTGCGATGAGTGGGGCCTCGAGCCGGGATGGCTAAGGAACTTTGACAAAGGGGGAAAGTACAGCCTAAGAGCCGTGCTTCCCCACAGGGAAATGGGGTGGCGTCTGGCAAAATACCCAGACAGCACGCTGAGAAGGCCAGGCACAATGCACCTGATTCTGACAAAGTTCATGGCTCACAAAGTGTTGTTTGGGTCGCCAATTAATGGGCCTCATCGAAAAGTTGATAAATTAATGATATCATTCAGCTGGCGACATGTGAGGTCCAGATATGGCGCAGAGAGGATGTCGACAACCTCAGCACCTTTGCCATACGGATGATCATCCAGTAGCTTGGCGGTCAATGAGGCAGAAACCCCAAAACATCAATCAGGGGTGCTCTATAATTTTCTCGCAATCCAATCCCAAGGCACTCAAAATGCAAAGAGATGACTTGAGTGACAAAGAGAGGCCGTGGAAGCCTCACTATTTGCCAAAAGAACCCAAAGCAATGCAGCCGTGATGCCGGACACAACTCCAGTACATGGCAGTGCACGTCATGTGCACACTGGTGTCAGACACGTTTGGAAAACACTGTGGAGTAACTGAGAAGCATACAGGTCACTGTTGGGCACGTGCGTTCGCTTTGGCAATGTATACAGCCGTGCATGACTGGGCGCATTGTTCGTAGAAAGGTTTGGAGAGTCGGGCTGCGTCAGTTTTTCCGAGCAATGCCCGTTGATCGGGTCGGGACGGCCGTGGCTGGCCATGGTGCTGCTGATGGGGGATGGCAGGCATACGGCCGAGTCGACGATTGAGGCTTATCGAGGTTGAAGTTGCTGGGGGTTTTTTTGGCGAACGGGCAGACCTTTCAACCTACGTGGTCGGCTGTGTGGCGGAGCGCCGTGAGTTTGAGCGAGCTTGGGCGCCGTGGATGTGCGGAACGGGAGGTTGCAGGGCTGATGCGAGAGGCATGCAATGTACTGCAGCTTGATTTGTCATCCTGGCGTGGTGCTGGAGAATTCTGGCGTTCTGTGGTACGCAAGCTTCTCAAAAGTGCGCCCCTAGGTCAGAGCAAGGTGGTTTGTCATGGAAGGCAGGGTGCCATCAGCCCAAAAAATGGACTTGTGAAAGTTGATCGAATCTAGATTTAAAAAGATCAATCAGCTGCAAGGCATACTTGCAGTACGCTGCTGGTATCCTGAGTTACGTAGAGGTGTGTTAAGGAAATCGTTTGCAAAAGACTTCACATCAAACGGATCTTTAGTGAGCAAGATATGGCATTTTATGTGCGATAGAGCCGTAGACCTGCCATAGGGAGTTGTGGGGCAGGGTCAGGAGGAGCGCGTGGAGGCGCCACGTGGTTGCTTGATGGGAATATGCCCTGTAGGACATTACATGGTTGCTGACCACGGCAAGTGGGGCTGTTTGATGGGAATATGGCCCTTGGGGCATTACGTGGTGGCTGATTGTGGGCAGTGGGGCGTCCTGGGTTGAGTCGTGGTGAAGCTGCGGGCATGGCAGAAAGATTCCGGGGATCAAAAGAGCATCTCTTAGGAATGGGGGGTACCGTTGGTTTTTAAACCCTTCCGCATAGTAACGTAATACTGGGCACTTTTTTGCGGAGTCGATTAATAAAAATGTAATGGTGCCGGATCGAGATGCGGAGTAACCAAATTTAGTAACGGCCGGGGAGCGGCTTTGTGGTGGGCCCCGTGCCGGGGCGGCCCCTGGCACCTGGCAGGCCACTAGGCAGTCAATTAGCTAGCGCCCACCCCTTGCCTACCGGGCGGCTTGGGCCTCCAACCACAGGAAGTGATCGCAGGCATATGCCTGCACCATCGTGGACTCGACCTGGGCAGCCGATCGGGTCGCCCTGCCTGCCGCCAATTGGATACGCAAAGGCCCATGGTGTGGTAATGTGGTAGCAACTCGTTGGTTTCTTGCCTTGCCGAGCGGAGCTCGGCCCGTCGCCAAAGTCGTGGAGGCCATATGCGAAGTGAAGCGGAGTAGGCCAGAACGACTTGGGCGTAAGGGCCGAGCGTAGTGAGGCCTTTAGCCGGAAAACGGGTTTGGCCAAAATGGAAGTTCTTAATGAATATAATGACTTTGATGATTTTGGCTACCATATGTAAGAGCGCCTGGTGACGACGCCAATTGTAGCGATTGATTATTCTGGAGCCTCCCTGCCTCCTCGGGCGCAGTAGCCGCGTGCCTCGGATGGGACCGCACAGAGTGGCCGTCACCCACAGGCCAGAGAGAGAGAGAGCCCGGGACATGCCGTTCGGCCAAGGACAACCACGCTTCCACCGGAGAGGCTCTAGAGCACAGGCCAGGGTACCTAGACACGGCCAAGGGGGAACCGCGCTGACACATGGCAGGCCGCTCACCCCGCCTTATGCCATCCTCTCAGCACTCCCTGCCACCCGGCAGGCTTATGGGTGTCCGATTGGCAAGCACGCAGGCGCCCGCTGCTTGCCATCCAGGTGGCGGGGAGGGTGGGCACTGACGCCGAAGGTGCCAACGTGGTATGGAAACCCATGGGCGGGGAGTGGGGGCGGTTGGCAGGTGCGTGCACATTGACCAACGGCCAGCCGGGGGGGGGGGGCAGGGTTTGGGGGGGCCGCCTTGGGAGCCACCCGGGGCCAGGAGCACGGGAAGCGGGGTGAGCTGGGCGGATGAGGCAAGGGGGGTTGGAGTTGTTATTCAACGGGCACAAGTTCGCGGCAAGGGACCCGGCTTTGCGGACCAGCTTCACGGGGGGCACGATCGATCCCCAAAGCTGGATGGTTGGCATTGCACGGCGCGCACACATACAAGGTTTGGGACTAGTCCGTTGCACCTGAAACTTGGGATACAACCTTTGGAGGCCCCTCAGAGCCTGCTTAACGCAATGCAGAGCAAAAAGAAAAATAACGTAATGGTCCAGGACGAAAACGTGGAGCAAAAATGTAACGGTTGGGATGGACCGATGCAAAAGGGTTGAATATTTGACAGTATTTACTAGAGCGTGGGGGTTTACAAGTACTAAGGTGCAGATAATGCTGTGGGGGAGTCTCTACTATTGCACCCGGGACGATAGTTGCAACAACGGTTGTGTGGGGTCCGTGTGTGTCTCGCGCGGCGGTCTAGGCGCTCAGCCTGGTTGCCTGGCCCCCTGGCCATGTATGCAGCGTTCGCCGTGGCCTGAGTCATGGCCAGTCTGGGCCGTGTTTGCAAGGCGCTTCCTTGCTGTTCGAGACCAACATTGCTAGCACCATCGTGTTGCTAGCCAAAAGTGGCCACCCTTCATCGTTGCACAGCTTCGTTGAGAGGGAGAGAAGCGTCTTTCATGTATTGTTCTGCTATGTTATGGACAAGGCAACCCTGACCAGTGGACCTGACTTGCATTTAGACTTCGTTGATTATTGAGGCGCTGTTGGGATTGGCTGGAGCACTCTGAGTAGCAGCTGCAGAAGTTTCCACAATCGTATTTGTATGGTGGGCTAGCAGTGGGGGTTTTGCTACCCGTTTGAAGATTCCCCTTGCCGTCGCTGCTGTTTTGTCAGTCATGACACATGCCAAGCAGTTCTTCATGAAGAGCCAATTCGCACGAGGGATAAAGCTTGTTCGTTGAGTGCGCTCTCAACGGATGTGGTGCTAAGGC